CAGGTATGTGACATCATCTTCAGGTAGATGACATCAGTTACAGGTAGGTGACATCAGTTACAGGTAGATGACATCAGTTACAGGTAGATGACATCAGTTACAGGTAGATGACATCAGTTACAGGTAGATGACATCAGTTACAGGTAGATGACATCAGTTACAGGTAGGTGACATCATCTTCAGGTAGATGACATCAGTTACAGGTAGATGACATCATCTTCAGGTAGATGACATCAATTACAGGTATGTGACATCATCTTCAGGTAGATGACATCAGTTACAGGTAGGTGACATCAGTTACAGGTAGGTGACATCAGTTACAGGTAGATGACATCAGTTACAGGTAGGTGACATCATCTTCAGGTAGATGACATCAATTACAGGTATGTGACATCATCTTCAGGTAGATGACATCAGTTACAGGTATGTGACATCATCTTCAGGTAGATGACATCAGTTACAGGTAGGTGACATCAGTTACAGGTAGATGACATCAGTTACAGGTAGATGACATCAGTTACAGGTAGGTGACATCATCTTCAGGTAGATGACATCATCTTCAGGTAGATAACATCAGTTACAGGTAGATGACATCAGTTACAGGTAGATGACATCAGTTACAGGTAGGTGACATCAGTTACAGGTAGATGACATCAGTTACAGGTAGGTGACATCGGTTACAGGTAGATGAAATCAGTTACAGGTAGATGACATCAGTTACAGGTAGATGACATCATCTTCAGGTAGATGACATCAGTTACAGGTAGATGAAATCAGTTACAGGTAGATGACATCAGGTACAGGTAGGTGACATCAGTTACAGGTAGATGACATCAGTTACAGGTAGATGACATCAGGTACAGGTAGATGACATCATCTTCAGGTAGATGAAATCAGTTACAGGTAGATGAAATCAGTTACAGGTAGATGACATCAGGTACAGGTAGGTGACATCATCTTCAGGTAGATGACATCAGTTACAGGTAGGTGACATTATCTTCAGGTAGATGACATCAGTTACAGGTAGATGACATCATCTTCAGGTAGTTGACATCAGTTACAGGTAGATGACATCATCTTCAGGTAGATGACATCAGTTACAGGTATGTGACATCATCTTCAGGTAGTTGACATCAGTTACAGGTAGATGACATCAGTTACAGGTAGATGACATCATCTTCAGGTAGATGACATCAGTTACAGGTAGATGACATCATCTTCAGGTAGATGACATCAATTACAGGTATGTGACATCATCTTCAGGTAGATGACATCAGTTACAGGTAGGTGACATCAGTTACAGGTAGGTGACATCAGTTACAGGTAGATGACATCAGTTACAGGTAGATGACATCAGTTACAGGTAGATGACATCAGTTACAGGTAGATGACATCAGTTACAGGTAGGTGACATCATCTTCAGGTAGATGACATCAGTTACAGGTAGATGACATCATCTTCAGGTAGATGACATCAATTACAGGTATGTGACATCATCTTCAGGTAGATGACATCAGTTACAGGTAGGTGACATCAGTTACAGGTAGGTGACATCATCTTCAGGTAGATGACATCAATTACAGGTATGTGACATCATCTTCAGGTAGATGACATCAGTTACAGGTATGTGACATCATCTTCAGGTAGATGACATCAGTTACAGGTAGGTGACATCAGTTACAGGTAGATGACATCAGTTACAGGTAGATGACATCAGTTACAGGTAGGTGACATCATCTTCAGGTAGATGACATCATCTTCAGGTAGATAACATCAGTTACAGGTAGATGACATCAGTTACAGGTAGATGACATCAGTTACAGGTAGGTGACATCAGTTACAGGTAGATGACATCAGTTACAGGTAGGTGACATCGGTTACAGGTAGATGAAATCAGTTACAGGTAGATGACATCAGTTACAGGTAGATGACATCATCTTCAGGTAGATGACATCAGTTACAGGTAGATGACATCAGTTACAGGTAGATGAAATCAGGTACAGGTAGATGACATCATCTTCAGGTAGATGAAATCAGTTACAGGTAGATGAAATCAGTTACAGGTAGATGACATCAGTTACAGGTAGGTGACATCATCTTCAGGTAGATGACATCAGTTACAGGTAGATGACATCATCTTCAGGTAGATGACATCAGTTACAGGTAGGTGACATCATCTTCAGGTAGATGACATCATCTTCAGGTAGATAACATCAGTTACAGGTAGATGACATCAGTTACAGGTAGATGACATCAGTTACAGGTAGGTGACATCAGTTACAGGTAGATGACATCAGTTACAGGTAGGTGACATCGGTTACAGGTAGATGAAATCAGTTACAGGTAGATGACATCAGTTACAGGTAGATGAAATCAGTTACAGGTAGATGACATCAGTTACAGGTAGATGACATCATCTTCAGGTAGATGAAATCAGTTACAGGTAGATGACATCATCTTCAGGTAGATGAAATCAGTTACAGGTAGATGACATCAGGTACAGGTAGGTGACATCATCTTCAGGTAGATGACATCAGTTACAGGTAGGTGACATCATCGTCAGGTAGATGACATCAGTTACAGGTAGCTGACATCATCTTCAGGTAGATGACATCATCTTCAGGTAGATGACATCAGTTACAGGTAGATGACATCATCTTCAGGTAGATGACATCATCTTCAGGTAGATGACATCAAGTATAGGTAGATTACATCATCTTCAGGTAGATGACATCATCTTCAGGTAGATGACATCAGTTACAGGTAGCTGACATCATCTTCAGGTAGATGACATCATCTTCAGGTAGATGACATCAGTTACAGGTAGATGACATCATCTTCAGGTAGATGACATCATCTTCAGGTAGATGACATCAGTTACAGGTAGATGACATCATCTTCAGGTAGATGACATCATCTTCAGGTAGATGACATCAGGTAGAGGTAGATTACATATGTAACAGGTGACTACACCCTGTGTTCTACATCTTATCTCATGTATCTCGTCTCCTGTCTCCTGTCTCCTGTCTCCTGTCTCCTGTCTCCTGTCTCCTGTCTCCTGTCTCCTGTCCTCAGGTCTGGTGACGGCCTGGTCTCTGGCAGTATTGTCCTTCGAGCGTTACCTGGTCATTTGTAAACCGTTTGGAGCGTTTAAGTTCGGCAGCAACCACGCTATGGCAGCCGTGGCTTTCACCTGGTTCATGGGGATCGGCTGTGCGATTCCTCCTTTCTTTGGCTGGAGCAGGTAAGGAACACACCCACCTGTGTGAGGCCACCGCAGGTGATTCAGACACGGCCTGGTGGTAACCCCGTCACATCTCTGTCACAGGTACATCCCTGAAGGCCTGGGCTGCTCATGTGGACCTGACTGGTACACTCACAGTGAAGAGTACCACACCGACTCCTACACCCAGTTCCTGATAGTGACCTGCTTCATCGCCCCGATCACCATCATCATCTTCTCCTACTCGCAGCTGCTGGGCGCCCTGAGAGCTGTGAGTGACACCTGATCAATACTTAATATGTCACAAGACAAAAAACTAAGCTCACACTTTACTTCTGTGCAATGAACTAACTGGACAATTTCAGGACCGAAAAATGTAAATATAAAGTAAATAAAGCGCAGAAAAAGTAAGGATATTTAAGTTTGGTAGAGTATTTCTTTGTTGTAACAAAGCTTCTTGGCAGAAAGCCTGTTTCCCTTTTAAACGGTGGCACATTTGTACGGAATATGCATTTGTGGGATGAGCAGCAGAGCCGAGTATGTGAGGCGCACCCATGAAAAACTTGCCAAATCTTCTCTGATTCTGTTGACTCTTGATTGGTGTCGTTTAGTGGATTGGATGATTGAAGTCTAAAGGGTGGCATCCCATCTTTCAACCCAATGCCCATGAGGTTGTGTTGGTCACAGTGGGATGAACAGCACACCCCAAGCTGATCCCACAAGTGTTCAGTGGGGTTGAGGTCCATCCTCTCCCCTCCCAAATTCTGGAGGTAGTCTCTGATAAACCCCGCCCTGTGGGGTGCGAGCGTTGTCGTCTTGAAGGATTGGGTTCTGTCCCACACTGTGGAGATATGGGAAAATTAAAGGTGGTGTTCTTCTTCTTCTTTGTGGATTTTGTTGTCAGGTAGCAGCTCAGCAAACGGAGTCGGCCTCCACTCAGAAGGCGGAGAAAGAAGTGTCCAGGATGATCATCGTCATGGTGGGATCCTTCGTCACCTGTTACGGCCCGTACATGTTCGCCGCCATATACTTTGCCTACTCGTCAAATGAAAACAAAGACTACCGACTGGTCACCATCCCCGCGTTTTTCTCCAAGAGCTCGTGTGTGTACAACCCCCTGATCTACGCCTTCTTGAACAAACAGGTGAGCCAACACACAGGTGAGAAAACACACAGGTGAGTTTATGCGCACACACAGAAAACACACAAACACAAACTTCCTGTGATGATTGTACTTTCAAATTAAAAGAACTAGAAAATACTCAATCGACTTGAATATATTGTAAGATAATGAAATAAAACCTGATGGTTGTCGGTGTCGGTGTGTGTGTGTGTGTGTGTGTGTGTGTGTGTGTGTGTGTGTGTGTGTGTGTGTGTGTGTGTGTGTGTGTGTGTGTGTGTGTGTGTGTGTGTGTGTTTGCAGTTTAACGCTTGCATCATGGAGACAGTGTTTGGAAAGAAAATGGACGAGTCATCTGAAGCTTCTACAAAGACAGAGACGTCCTCGGTGTCCACAGCTGCGTAAAGTTCGACGACAGACGGACATTTATCGACTTTTTAAATGGACTATTTTTCTCCAGGAGGTTGACGAACATTTTACATCAAAAAGTGATGTTTTACTGTAGAACATGTTTTGTTTAGTTCCTAGGCAACAAAATATAATATAATAAAAATATGAACTTTTTGTTTTAAACTGTTTCTGTGTCATCGTTTGAACTTAGCAGTGCCTTCTTAAAGGGCCGGCACACCAAAAAAAAAGAAAACAATAACAAAAACAGAATTATAACTGTATTTTTTTATTTAACAACAGAAAGGTCAAGCCCGGCGTACACTGTACGGATTTCAGCTCAATCGCCCGCCGTCAGTCGTGTAGTGTACACTGAGGCACGACGCCGATCACCACTCGCACAGCTCTCCTGATCAGTGAATTTCCTACATGTTTGATATTTTGAAAATACGCCTGCTCACAATCGCACTTTCTGAGCAGAGCCACGAGCGGATTCCTAGACTCGGATTTTCCCCCCTCCTCTAACTTTGCAGACAGCGCCTGAAATCATCATGGCAACAGAAGGCACAAATATCTGCGGACCTCCAGTTGACAGGAAGTATGATGATTTAGCGGCTAGTTAGCTTGTGTTTATTGCTAATGCACTAACAAGCACACGTTTTTTTTTTTTGCTGGTGTGTGTAGCCAAGGCAACTGAAATCAACCTCTGACTGGGGGAGTTTTTTTTTTTCTAAAATTGTGACTGCTCCGTCTCGACTTTACTCACACAGTGCGAGCTCTCAGGTCCCACAATCGGGTCGTACAGTGAGAGACTTTCCTACCACCGTACAGCGTACACCAGGCTTTAGTGTCATTATTTATACTTTGATATCAAAATATTTTACAGAACTTTCAGATATTTAAAACAAAGTCTCATGAAGTTTAGTGAAACCACAGGTGGCGTTATAAACACAAATGAACACTGAAGGCTCACTGCTAAAAACTGAGAGGTACAAAGAGGTAAAGTGAAATCATCGACGTAGCGTTTACAAAACACAGCAAATATCAAAGTCCAAATAACTGAAATGTAAAGATGAAACTCGATTAACCCTTTGACTTGCATTGTAACCACGTGGTTGACCTTTTTTCCGCCACCATATTGCTGTATTTAAAACTCTGAAAACCTATCTTTGGCTGTTTATCCTCGTTCACCTCATTGAATAGTGTATGTAACACAGATTATGTCCAATGGGTGGCGCTGCTGTACATAATTATCATTGTCTTAAAACTGTGGAAAATACCGGGAGTGATTCAGCTCCTCAGAAATCTCACAGAATAAGAGCAAACGTCCGGGTCACGTATCATTTATAGATACTCTAACAATCATATTTTAGTTGAAGGAAATAAATTTGACAATAAAATATATATCTATGATTCCTCACAAAACATGGTCTGCACAAACGGCCTGGCTCACATCACTCATGTCTTATTTTGTTCACCTTTTCTAACCATTGCTACTCATTCAATTTGTTAAATTAATTATATTTTATTTTAACAAGTTCTACTCTCTGTGATGTTAAATTTGAAAAAACTAAACATTTTGTTGCAGAAATGAAAGAAATCCATTCATATCCAAAGTAACCCTAAACAGGCAACCAGCTGGTTGACCTGCATATCTGCTTCCTGATTGGGTAATCTGAAAAATATAACCTGAAATGTTGCTTAATGAAGAGGCAGGAACACAACTTTACCAACAAACAATCTTTTGCGAATGGATTTCTTAGTGTGGAAGTCAAAGGGTTAAAAAAAAAACTTCAGAGTAAATCTGAGTAAATAACAAAACTCCAAATGTGTTAAATTCAAGATAAGTGTGTCTGAATAAATAACTTTAAAAAAGGAAAAAAAACAAAAAACAGATTTTCTTCTGCGTCTCTAGAACTCGTCGTGTCGTAGCAACGCCTCGCCGAAGTCCGTCACCTGACTCCCGACAAACACGTCGAATTTATTCAGGATTTCCTGTTTGCTGAGTTTCCCGTCCTGAACAAAGACACAAGGACGGGTGATGAACAGATGTTTACACAGGTGTTTAAAAACTGAACAGGTAAGTTTGAGTCTCACCTTGTTGGCGTCTGACTCGTGCAGCAGGTGTTTGGCCTCGGCTTCAGCGTGGTCATAATCTGACGGGAGGATCCAGTCCAGAGTTTCCTCTTTGTCCATTTTCCCGTCTTTGTTTTTGTCTCTGAACTCCATAAACTGCTGACGCTCTGACTCCACCCACTCCGGATCCTCCGACTCCTCCTCTGCTGTGTACATGTCCCCTACAGGCCAGACACAACGATCACAGATCTCAAACCACTCAACATGAGCAAAGACTTAAGACCAGACACAACGAGCACAGAGCAGACTGAACACAACGATCAGAGATTTACAATTAAATAACATGAGCACAGAATTAAGACCAGACTCAACAAGCACAGAGCATAGGTAAGATAACATTAGCAAGATTTGTCACAAAAATTTGATCTCCTTCGATCCAGCCTATTCCGTTACTTCCAGTTTCGACATTTCCTCCAACATCATGATCCCGATTTTCCAAATAGACCTTTAGCTCTGGGGTTAGATGACATGCTTGTGATCCCTCTTGCGTCGAAAGGTCTGATTTCTAAGATATATAACTGTATCTCCTCTCTTAAAAACACATCTACTGCAAAGATTAAGGCGGATTGGGAAAATGAACTGGGGGAGATCATGGAAGAGGGCAGCTGGAACTCTGCTCTACAAAGAATAAATGATAGTACTTCCTGCGCAAAGTTGAATATTATACAATTCAAAGATCTGCATCGGGCTCATCTCTCCAAAGCAAGACTTTCAAAAATATATCCAGGTGTAGATGCTAGCTGTGACAGATGTCATAATACTCCCACTAATTTGTCATGTCCGGTCCTTTCATCTTACTGGGCTGTGATCTTCAGTACTATATCAAAGACTCTTAATATTGTACTTCGACCAAGTGCAGCTGCAGCTATATTTGGTATTACAGATAAAGATAACGGCACATTGAGGAGAAGACATAAAGATGTTATTGCTTTTACAACACTGCTTGCACGCAGAAGAATATTACTGCGTTGGAAGTCATCGAGCCCACCCAAGGCGTCCCTGTGCCTGAGGGACTTACTGCACTTCATACAACTGGAAATATTCACTGAGA